CTTTGTCTATACAGTGGAAGTCAGCTAAACCGTTTGGTTACCAATGTTCCTCAAAACATTCTTGTTTGTGTTCTGCAGAATAAGGAAAGTCACACAGGTTTGGAACAAAATGATCAACTATTCCTTTCAATTCTGTGTTCCTATCATATTTGTTTGCTTTTCTTTTTCTTCTATTTGCCGGTTCAATCTCTCCCCCTCTTCCAGGTGTTCTCCGTTTTCACTTCTCTCCTCACGCTCTCCTCAGCGTGATCATGTTTTTGGAACTCTGGTTCAATCCAGTCCTCTCTGTTTCCCCACTTTTCCTCTCCTCCCTCGCTCTGTTTTTCATTCCTACACTCTGCTGTCCCATCAGAGACATCCACTTTTGCTCCCCTGAGAGTCTTCTTTTTGCACATGTGTGAGAAACTTTTTTTTGTATGTAAATGAACATATCCCACATGAAAAAATACTATAGTAATTTATAGTAAATACTATAGTGTTTTTGAACCATACTATAGTAGGCTAAAGCACTTGACTTAATTTGTTGTGGTAATTCTATAGTTGCTGTGGTAATATAACAACTATAGTATAAACAAATTACTTTACCCAATACTGTACTAAGTTTTCTACACCTATAGGGAATATTTTACTACAATACACAACAGTTTACTGTAGTAAAAACTAAAGTATACCACAGTATTTATTACAGTTTATCAGTTCACTGATGCTGTAGCATTCATTAACAAAGTGTTGTAAATACACTTTACTATAGTATGGTTCAAAAACACTATAGTATTTACTATAAATTACTATAGTACTTTTCCATGTGGGATTACTCTGTCTCAAGTGTGGAACAAGACAAAGTTTTGTGGTGGGTATGTGTGTCAGCTTTTTTCTCTGTCAGACACTAGAGAAAGGGACAGTAATGGTTTCTTTTTTCCTCTCTGTTCTTAAGTGTGTGATAGGAACAACATGGTTTCCTATGCCTTATTTCTTGGAAAGACCAAATTCCTCTCTCAGAAATGCAGCTGTAAAGTGTTTCACATTTTACACATGTAATGTGGTTTGCGTCTCTGGCTGTATTATTTTAACTGGATAAATAAGTTAAACATGTTAAATAAATGCAGCCTTTTCTTTTGCAGACGGTATAATCTCACGTCACTGATATATTGTGATGTCAAAGCATGACGTGGTCCATCGTTCAGCCGCAGGGCTCATGAATTATTCATGTCTACGTCAGAGATTGCGCTAAAAATATCTCTGAGAAACTGCACCACCACACCGATGGTTACATTTTATGGTGGGCGCTGGCTGTTTGAGGACAGACACAATGGGAACAGATGCTTTCCACTGAACAACCATTACAACAAATGTACTTGAACTGAAAAGAAACATGTCTGAACATACTAATTTCAGAATGTCAGATGTGTTGTGTTCTGGGCTAATGCTGACCAGTGTACAGTACTTGGCTCACGCATACTCAAAAAAACAAGACTATTTTGCTTAAGCTAAAGCAAAGCTAAGCAAATAATTACTAAAACATGAAAACACAATGTTTTAATAGGTTTTAATGTGTAATTTCAAAGAGTGTTTAAAAAAGGCAATCGGTTTTGTTCACAGTCATGAAGCATTGATTTGCTACTTGTTGGTTGGTTGTAGCAGAGGGAGGGATATTATCATTCTAGAGAGCATGTATGGTAAGGCTGGTTAGATGTCCCCATTAGCCCCTGCTGGTGCATGCTATAACTATAACATCTGGCTTTAAACAGCATCTTTTCCAGTTGACGCCATTCAAAATTGTATTTATGAACCATAAATAAAATTGTTTGCATGCAACATTTAGATCAAATATTTCTTAATATTTTACTGTTTTTTTCTTAATCAGTCTCTGCTCTTTAAAAAATGAAAGGGCCTACTAAACCCACTAAAAGTGATGTTTGTCAACATTAACTTATACATGGCCTCAAAGTTTACAAACATGGACAAAATATTACATATCTATAATTTTGATTTTATGGGGTCAAAACATGGAGTATCCAATAATGGCCTATGCAGGGCACACATGCATCCTTTCACCAATAGATGGAGCCAGCAGAATAAATATGAGCTCTTCATGAATTTGCACTCTGACATAGATCCTAACAGAGAGAAATTAATAATAACATCCATCTTTTTAAGTTGTGGTAATTCTCTCTCGCTTTAATATTATATTTACAATATTTAAGATTTAAATTGCACACATGCATCCTTTCACCAATAGATGGAGCCAGCAGAATAAATATGAGCTCTTCATGAATTTGCACTCTGACAGATCCTAACAGAGAGAAATTAATAATAACATCCATCTTTTTAAGTTGTGGTAATTCTCTCTCGCTTTAATATTATATTTACAATATTTAAGATTTAAATTAAAAAAATCTCAAAAGGATACAAATATAATCTGTAATGTGTCAAATGTTACAAAATGTTACAAAAAGTTACAACATTACAATATTGTGTTACTCCCTAAAAAGTAACGAATTGCATAACTTTTTATGCAAAAGTAATGTGTTATGTTACTTTTGCATTACTATTTCTCATCTGGACTGGGCTTGCTTGTTTAAGTTCTATCTTTGGCAAATGTAAGTGAAATGAACAAGCCTTAGGCTGAAGGAAATGTAAATACACATTCGTACAGTAGAATGTGTGTGTGTGTGTGTGTGTGTATATTACACTTAATCACACTTAAAATAGGCTACCTTATTTATCCACATTTTTAGTTGTTTTATTTTAAATAATTTTAACATTTTAAATAATTTTTATTTTTAATAATTTTTAGGGGCCTATTTTGTCCTGGTCCCTAGGTTCAGAACCATTGTTCTGTAATGAAAAATAGTTTCACTTACAATTATGACGAGCACTGGTTTCTCAACAGTCGAACAAGTGGATAACAAGTACCCTTACTAACCTGTAGAGGGCACTATTCTACTATTTTTACATAATCTGTAATGTGTCAAATGTTACAAAATGTTACAAAAAGTTACAACATTACAATATTGTGTTACTCCCTAAAAAGTAACGAATTGCATAACTTTTTATGCAAAAGTAATGTGTTATGTTACTTTTGCATTACTATTTCTCATCTGGACTGGGCTTGCTTGTTTAAGTTCTATCTTTGGCAAATGTAAGTGAAATGAACAAGCCTTAGGCTGAAGGAAATGTAAATACACATTCGTACAGTAGAATGTGTGTGTGTGTGTGTGTGTGTGTGTATATTACACTTAATCACACTTAAAATAGGCTACCTTATTTATCCACATCTTGATTTTTAGTTGTTTTATTTTAAATAATTTTAACATTTTAAATAATTTTTATTTTTAATCATTTTTAGGGGCCTATTTTGTCCTGGTCCCTAGGCTCAGAACCATTGTTCTGTAATGAAAAATAGTTTCACTTACAATTATGACGAGCACTGGTTTCTCAACAGTCGAACAAGTGGATAACAAGTACCCTTACTAACCTGTAGAGGGCACTATTCTACTAATTTTAAGTTTTACATAAGACACTTCGCTTTGCCAAGTAGTTAATGAGAAAAAAAGCCTTTTTGTATTTTAATTCCCTATTTGTAAACTCTTCTGTTAAAATTACTTGCATCAGAACAAACACAGACGTTATTTATATATATATAAGCAAGACATTAGCAAGAGTGAAGTGATTAACACTACAAGAAATGAGGTGGTTGTATTATCTTGACATATCCCCCTCTTGTTTGGATAAATGTCAAGAATGTGTCACCACCATACTGCCAATCAGATGAAAGACAGAAGGAATTTATGGTGCATGTGTATGACTTAAAATGTGTCTGTATATATACAGTCACCATGATGCCATGTAAGATAAATACATGCAAAATTATATATTATATATATATATATATCAAGACCTCAGTGAGGTCTTTGGATCTCTTTATGGTGAGCAGAGGGATGTGTGTCTCAGTGTTGCCTGGCAAGCCAAACACTGCTGTCCTCTTTTGCTTTCAGACGCAAAGTTACCATGTTACCAAGTTACCATGTTGGTTCACAATTAACTTTATAGACCACACTTAACACTCAGTATGTTGGTTCAGTCAAGAATCAGTAGCTCTTTGAGCTATAATCCCACAATACTGCAAATCCTTGTCTGTTTTGTCCTGTCAAAGCCATGACAGCTGGGATTCACACGTGGCATTCATTTGTATTAATTTAAGTTTCAGCCTGGCTCAAAATGGTCTGTTATACAGCCATACTGTGGCCAGCCCACCTAAAACTGCGTTGAGCATTGAGACTTTGTTTTGGTTACAGATAAAAATCATAAAAGAAAGGAGGAACAAATAAAAGAGAAAGAGAGGGGGGTCAGATCCTACTTGAGATTTCTCTCCCCACGAGACCCCCAAGAGAAAACAAGAGGAAGTAATAAAGACTGGAGGATCTGCTTACAAAACTCGCATGACATGTGGACTGTTAATATAATGCTGCTTCGATTTAAAACCTGTTAAGAGCTTTTCTGCTTGTCAAGTAAATTGTGTTGCTTTTGTATCCATTTCATGCTTGTTTTGTCTAAAGCTCGTCACGATTATTCTCATTAGCAGTTGGCTCTTTTGGTATCTGCCTGGTAGTTTGGTGAGAGTATTCGTCCGAGAGAAGACAAGTGCCAGACATATGGATTTGATCAACAGGCCCCGTGCTGATGTTTTCTTTGGGCATGTTGACAGGCAGATAGACAAACATCTCTCTCTCTCATTATCCCTCACACACACACACACACACAGTTATTCTCTCACAAAGGCATTGGCTGACGGACAGTCTGGAGTGCTCCAATGACACAAAACATCACTCAAGCACTCTAGGACAAGCAGAGGAAAAAGAAAGAGAGAAGGGCAGAACAAGTAGGGAATAAGCAAGAGAACGGGACGAGAACAAAAGAGAGAGACACTCACGCCTCTGACTGCCCCTTTTTTCCTCCTCCGCTGCTGCTCTCTCTCACTCTTCCTTCTCACTCCTTCCCTTAGTCTCGCACCAGCGCACACACCCTCGCTCATTCTCACAGAACTTTTTTTCATCATCTCGCTCTTTTAATGATTTTGAGAGAGAGGGGAGACGCATTTGGAGGGTGTCTGAAATGTGGGAGCTCCACAGATGCCTGAGACCTGCGGAGAGATAGGAGACTCACCCTGCTTGGAAAAGATTGAGAAAACCAAAAAAGAGAAGGACTGCAACAAACTTATACGCCTCAATATTCCCTCATAACCACTACAGGACGCTGGAGTTTGTGGCATTATCATGGTGACACTAAGAATTACATTGACTTTAAGGTTCACCTTACTACTCCTGTACTGGTCATGCTGTACTGGTTGGCCGGGCCAGGCTCAGCAGTCGTCCCTGCGGGGTTTGCGTCAGGCGACCCAAACCCGGCAAAACCTCTCTGAGAGCATGGAGAGCAAAGTCGAACGTCTCGGCCAGGTCTTCCGAAGGAACGTGCGTCTTCTTCGGGAACGGGGAGGCTGTCTGGATCTGGTCTTCCTCGTGGACGAGTCGTCCAGTGTGGGAGCTTCCAACTTTGGGAGCGAGCTACGATTCGTGCGGAAGCTGCTGTCAGATTTTCCGGTGGCACCGGAGGCAACACGTGTAGCTCTGGTGACATTTAGTTCCAAGAGTTATGTGGTTACAAGAGTGGACTATGTGTCTGCACCCAAAGCCCACCAACACAAGTGCTCGCTCTTCAGCAAAGAGATCCCCTCCATCACCTACAGAGGAGGTGGCACCTACACCAGGGGGGCCTTCCAGCGTGCAGCGGTAAGAGCAGCTGTGTAATCACAATGTCTGTGGATGTGAGAAAGAATTTAAGCACTAAATGAAATGTAATAGATAAAAGAATAAATGACAGACACTGCCATTAAGAGTCTAGCCACCTAATCTAGATTGAGTTGATTGAGATGAACTTTGATTTATGCTGAATGTATTCAATGTTCCTCCACTGCTCTTTAATGTTCTTCAACTAATAAACAAATAGATAGCTATTGAATCTAAATCACTGAAGCACATTTAGCAGAAACAGGACTGCAAAGTCAAAATGATGGATGAACAACACATAAAAGTCTCCATTCCTGGCAAGGTACCACCAGATGTCATCTCTAAGTTAACACCACATGGTTTCCTGTGCACTCTGATCTGGGACAGATAAGCACAGAAACCATCTATGTAGGACTTTCTAGAACAGTGGCCATACTTTAAAAAAAAGTGCATGGTAGGGCCATGCAGGTTGATTTGTCCTTAGTCAACCTGCACTAAAGACTTTGGAAAATAGGGAAATACAGAGTTGTTGGTTTCAAGTTGGAACAACTTGAGAACTTCAAGATCCAGACAAAGGGAAAAGAGAGCAGCAGTGGTGACTCATTTCAAATAAATTCATTTTTCTTTTAACTAACCCAGCCTCACTTAACAGCAATGCTATAAATTGCAGCAAAATGATTTATTGCCTCATCTTGCAGCCTACTGCAGTTTCTACTCCCTTTTTCCGTTACAAATTATTATGACGTTCGTGTTTTCAGACATTTTTCTTGTCCTGAATGACATTTGTGGTTTGAAAAATGGTTTTGGTAACCCAGATCTGCAAATGTATTAAGTTGTTATGGAAGCACAGCAGGAAAGACCTTTTGTTCATATGCAATTAATTGGCATTGCAGTCAAACTGTAATATTTCATGGTTTTTGGCTCCTTCCGTTGAGTCTAAATGACGTGGAGGTCTGGAAGCTTTTACCAGACACATTTTTAATCTTTCAGAGCTGCAGAGGTCAAAGGCCTTATCCACAGTTCTACTGCCCAGCCGAAGTGCATAGAGAGGCCAAACCTCTCTGATCAGATTTGCCTTTTAGCAAGAACATCCTCAATTGCCAAGCCTCTAATTAATTTACTCCACTGCATTTGGAGAATGAAATGTTGGGTTGGCTCTAAATGCATTTTATTTTGCTCTGCCTGATGATGGATAAAAGCTGCATTGTGTAGTCTCACAAACCCAACATGCTAATAAACAGCAAGGTGGTAAACCATTTAAAACTGACTTGAGAATCTGCCATTTAACTACAATGATTATCTTAAAGAAAAGTCTGTCTAGACACTTTGAATAGACAGACATATAGATAGATAGATAGATAGACAGACAGACAGATAGACATCTACGGATCTAAGTTCTTATGTAATCACTCTTCGGTTCGCCCAGCGCTCCTGCTGATTCTTGCTCTAACCACAGTGTTTGTCTACACTTTGTGGGCATACTGGGTTGCTAGATCCCCAACCCCTTTTCCATTTGCCAAACCAGAGCAGAACTAGCTCTCCATAAACTTCTTTCTCTCTCATTGCTGTCCTTCTGAAAGTTAGTGAATGCTTTTAGTGCTTTCCAAATTCTTTGCCTGCTTTTCTGATCAGCCTCCATAGGGAGTCATTACATCGAAGTCCTTGACCAAATGGATTTGAAATTTCCTATTTCCGATGAATGCTCATCTCAAGTAGGATTCTTCCTTTCCCCCAGCAGGGATTCTATTAAGAAGGGGAAGTCTATGGGAAATCTATATAAGCACATTTGAAAACACACCAACCCACCCACCCACACATACGTGGGAGAACTTGCACAATTGGTGGCTGACTAAATACTTTTTTTTCCCCACTGTATATATCAAGAGTCATTCTTCCTCAAAAATGACTGTTAATTTATCTCATGCAAGTAGCGTGGAGGTGAAAAGGGCCATTATATTTTTTGCGTTATTGTTAGCATACATCCCTCCCATTTCATCCTATACGTAACCCTTCCTCCTAAAATCCCCCATCAGAAATTCCAGAGAATGTTTCTTTAAAGTGCCATTGACCCCTCTGACCTGGTTTTTGAAGCACAAGGAAGCAGGAGCGTTACTGTCATTGAGTCTAGACAGATCAACGTGTCCAAATATCTCATATTGTGTCTGCAAAAACATCTGTCAGCAAGCCTCAGAATGAGCTGTGCAAAATTAAAGCAAAGGCACATAAAAGCAAAGAAACAGAATGAAAGAACTGGGACAGCTGTCAAAACACACAAACGTGATGTTTGGTGTTGATACAAATGACCGGAAATTCACTATGAATGCTTACAGGTACGTTTTATCTATCTATATTAATGCAAAGTGAGTGTCTACTTGTAGAAGATCACTATTTTTCACAAATAGCTGTAAAAAGCCATGAGTAATAAGAAACCAAGAAAATCGTAACAATGAAATAGAAATGGCTATTCAGAATGCTTCTTTTTGGCAGGCATGCACTGATGAAACTCTGGCACTTCCCGAGGCTGTATTTGTGTTATTAATTAAGACTGATTAGAGAGATCCTTATGAGAGACAGCCTGTACTCTACGAACCCTGATAAAACAGTCAGGAATGCCTTTAAACCAGCCTGAGAGCCACAGATATGTCTGCAGACAGCCAGATAAGGGCCCTTCAGTCTTTAACTGTCTGAAGAGGCAACATGTTTTACAATGAATCAGTCTTAGTCCTATTTAGGGGCTTAATTGCATCTCTGAGTTGTGTTGGAGGAACAGATTGCTTGGTTGCTTGTTACTGTGCGCTTTGCCTTAAGTCACAAATTGTATGCATTTACCTTCACCAGAAATTGGTTTATAGCACCTATAAATCAGACACGTGAGAGACTGAAATACGTAAGTAGCAGAAATATGCCTAAAAAAGGGATGGATCAACAATGAGAGACAGCATGAGACAAGAATAAAAGAGTCTTATTGTCTGGGACACACATGTGACGGTAAAATGAATGCAACATGATGGCATGAGAAAACCTTCATCTGGTCTTCATCCATCAGTTGTCCAGCACTCATTCTGCAGGGAAGCAGGAACACTTAGATGGGTAAAATCACATCTCATGTCCACATGTCACATTTTTTTGTCCACAGTAGACAAAATTATGCTCTGCTATCAAACAGTGGTTGTCAACCAGGGGGGCTCAGAAAATGTTACGTGGGCCTCAAGACGACTTAAAATGAGACAAAACAAGCATTAAAATAAGCTACAATCCAGATATGTCTTAAATTAAATTCATACATGCCCAGAATTCCTGGTAGTCAAATTTTAGAAAAGTGATTTCTAGATCTGGAAAAGTCATGTAAATTAATACAATCCTATAATGGCATGGGCATTTTTATGATGAATGTACATTTTGTTCTTGCCAAGCTCCAAAATATTTGATCAGACAGAATTTGTGTGTAAAAAATATTTTAAACATTCTTATCCTTAATATTTATCTGCAAATCACAAACAACTGGAAAAGCCATGGGGCCTTTGAATGTTGTTGTCAAGTCAAGTCCAGTAGTGGAAAGAGTCCTGAAAATTTGTACTTAAGAACAAGTACTGTTACATTGCTGAAATAATACTCAATTACAAGTAAAAGTACTGGTGTCAAATCAGTACTTAAGTAAAAGTACAAAGTACTCCTCTCAAAAACTACTCAGAGTACTAGTTACTAGTTACTTTTTAGCCGCCAATATTTAATGAATTACCAAAAAATATTCATATCAAAAATCTATGTGGATAATAGCTAATTTGAACAAAACCCACTTTTATCTTATTGACAAAGTACGTGAATTAGTGGTTATGATACAGGAATTTCTAACTTCAATACCTTGAAAAATATCAGTATCAAAGTACACGTGAACCGGAAGTTGCAACTGACTTCAGTGTTGTGATATATTTCCAAGTGAAACAGAATATTGAATAAAGGGCGGGGTTTTATTGTGGTGCACCTCCACTCCACCTCTTTCTCATAGCAGATTCACGGTTGGATAGGAGTGGTTAAGAATATCTGCTTGTTACATCTGATATCACGCTTCACCGCTTCTGGGTCCTAACGCTCTGCCAGACGCCCCCCCAAAAAACAACAAACTGTGCATATACACACTCACAATGTCATGTAACATTGAAAAAATTATAACCCTAACCTTTATCTCCATACCGAAATCCCAGAAGGCCTGACAGTGATTCAGCTAAAATATTAGTGTCTGAGACATTGTGAGCACAGAGACTGTAGTGTGCACAGCAATTATTTTAATGCTTAGCTGAAATACGTAATATTAATTAAATAGTGCTCATAAATGGCTGTTGAGATAGTATTCTCAAGTGAAATAAGTAGAAGCATGGACCCGGAAACAGCAGTCCTTACGTCATGACTTAATTAACAAGAGGATTCTCCCGAAGTCGTCAAACTGACGTCATCAGAGCCAGAACGCCATTCCAGAGCGGAAGTGACAGCAGAAATTTTTTTTCCAGTGTATTGACTTGCATGGTTCAATTGTTCACCACAAGACAAATGTGCATTAAAAAAGTAAGTAGGGTAGGGTCATTTTTTATTTCATGACGACTAGCTGGCAAAACTACCACATACTGTATGTACTGTATACTGCCATATAGATATTTTAATATTTAATATTTTTTGTCCATCCATTTTTTCAAGGCAATCATTATTTCAAGCTTTGAAATTAGTTTAATCCAAGTCTTCTAAAAAGACACACACGCTTTATATGATGCACAGATTTTAATATAGGCTTTGATTTACATACATATAAATATTGATCAATTACCATTACAAAAATCTCAAACTTAAACATTTGCTCATTCTGTGTATTTGTGTCTTTAAAATAGGGTAACTTTGTTGCAAACGCTTACAGCACAAGGAAGCTTGAGTTCAACTTTGATTTCAAACTGAATTGAATTTACAAAAAAAGACAAGTGCACAGTCAGTAATAAAATATAAAACAAATGACCTCA